TCAATAACTTGCATATGAACTTCCAATACGGACATGCTTGATTCAAGGTTTCTAAGTTTTGTTTTACATCTTCCACTTTAATTAATACATCTTCCTTAATTGTCGATGAAGAATTATCAAGTATTTCACTGTAATATTCTTGTTTAGTATCCACCTGCTCCTGTAATAGGTTAATATTTTTTTCAAAAGTTAATATCTGTTCCTGAGTATTGTCCTTCCATTCAGAGAGACCATTAAGGATCTTCTTTTGAATAATGTTTTCCTCTTTCATCATTGCTTTGAGACGAGTTATTTCCTCCTCCATGGTAGCAACATTATTGCCAATTATTGAAATACTCATTTCTTGAGTCTCTATCGAGGCTGTTAATATTTTGAAAGAGTTGATTTGTTCATTCAATTTTTCGAATTCCTCTTTAAAATTCATAATGGTACTACATATCATACTAACTTGTGTAATTGGCTTAATATCTTCCCTAATCTGGGGTAATATTAATTGTTCAAGATGAACCATAAAATCTTGCAGATTAGAAATATTTTCATTCAATATCTTGAAACAAGGTAGTGAAATAATATTATTTTCCAATTCATTATTTTGATTCTCAGTATTTTCGATTATATTTCTTTGTAAAAAATCCTCTAATCCAATTATTTTTTCATTAAGATAATTTTTACATTCTTGTAAAACCTTATTAACGTTTTCATCAAGAAATGATATCCTTTCAATATTTTCTTTGGTAGAGGTCGAATAAGCCAAATTAAATTCATTTTGATTTGTCTTGAGAAGTGAAATGTCCACTTTAAGAGCACCAAAATCCTTGTTTAAAACCTCATTACAATCTTCTATCAGTTTTAACCTATCTTCCACAAGTTCGGACAGGGAGTTATATTCTATAATTTTTCGATTGGTAAAAGAGTTTATCTCAGAATCAATAATTTTCCTTAAACTGGAATAGGAAGAATCTATTTGACTGTTTTGAGAGTCAATAGAGGATGAAAGGGTTTTTTCCATGGCTATTTGTACCATTTTTTGTTTTGATATTGCTTCTATTACTTCACTGTGCTGGTTCTTGTATTCTTTTAAATGGTTAAAAAGTTCGGAAGAAAGAGATGAATAATTTTGATTGGATTCTAATTTCTGTTGACATATAGTCAAATCATGGACTCTGGAAACGAGATTATCATAATTTAATAAATTCTCTTGAATTTTTTGCTTAACAATCACCATGGAATCATTAAATCCTTGCTTCCACAGATCCAATGTTTCGAATGTGACTGCGTAATCTTCAACTTTAGCTTTGACATTCGAATGTAAATTCGTTAATTGTTTAATTTCCTCCATTAAGGTTGTAGCGCCACTTTCTGATATTTCAATTTTTGTTTGTATATGTGATAATTGATCATTAAAACATTGTTGAATACTAGTAAGTGATTTTTCAATATTGCCCACTTTCACAGAAAGATCTTTAAGTGCTGATTCATTTGAATGGACATTACCAGTTAAGGTAATTTGATTGCTATCCAAGTATCTTAATTGCTTGTCTATTTCCTCGTTTCTAAATATTATTGTTTGAACAGAATCTTTGAAATACCTATTTTGGGTTTCAATCTCAACAATTTTCTGTTCAAGATTTTGTATCAGTATTTTGCTATCATTTCTAGAACTCTCCAAATTAAGAATCGAAGACTCTATACACTTATTAGAATCATTTTGATATTTCATGTTCATCTGAATTTCTTTTGATATTTCATTTCTTAAGTTATCTAAACTAGCTTCAAAAGATCCAATTTTTGAAAAAAGATTTTCAATAACGTTGTTCGAATATTTTCCCTTGTCATCATTCTTGAGTATCTCTGTTATTTGATTTTTTAAATCAGATACTCTAATATCAATAGATTCAGTAAAATTAGTCAACCTCATGTTAATGTGGTCAAAGCTATCCCCAGCACTCTTGTAAAATGATTCATATTTTGTATGAATTGTATCTATCTGTGTTGAAAATATGTCGTGAATGGATTTTGACTGTTCAATTTGGTTCACTTCATTTTGAAGAGTTGTGTCTTTCTCTGTGAAATATACTCTCAAATCAGATAAATCTTCATTAAGCTTTGATTGGTTTTGAGATATGGATTGTTGCTCGTTTCTTATATTTTCAATCATCAAAAATGCTTCTGATTTTATATTATTCAGTTCCAAATTGTATTGAATAATTTTTTCATTTAGTTCTACCAGATCTTTTTCATTGTTTTTTCTCTGCTCTACATCTGTTAAATGGGATGATACATTTTCAAGCAAGTCGGATAATTTTTTAATATCACTCAACTCATCTACTCTTTTCATTTCAAAATGATCTAATTTTTCAATTGTTTCTTCTTTAAATTGTTGGAGGGAGAAAATCTGGTCCTTTAAATATGAATATTCTTCCTGTCTCTCCTCAAATTTACTCTCTATAATATTTTGTTCGATATGCAACCCATGTATATCTTCAGAAAACATCAGGTTGGATTTAATAATTGATTCTATTGCTTTTCTAGAGTCTTCTTCTGTTAGTTGCTTCTTAAATTGAATTTCATTCAGTGTCCTCTCCATGATGTGGAATTGCTGTTCAAAGTTAGAGGATAAACTTTCATTATTAGAATTTTGGACTAAACTTTCCATTCTGCTTTTCAAGTCCTTCAACTCCCTTTCCGTTCTTGTTTGGAATTCCTTTATCTTTTTTTCAGAGTTCTTCTCTATAGAATTACATCTTTCAAGTATATTACTAGTATTTTCCAATTGATGTACCATATTATTGGTGAATTCTTTTGTCTTACTTTCCAAATACTGTTTCATTTTTTCTAAATCTTGAATGGATGATTCAGATTTAGAGTCATTCGTTTTTGCTTCCATTCTAGGTTTGAGCTTTAAATCATTCACATCTTTTTTAATTTCACCAATACTAGATGTCAAAAATGTAAATTGCTCCTCTGTTTCTCTAAGAATTTTATCCACAGCCTCCTCCACAGAGACATCAATTTTGTGTTGAATATTTCTTTCTTTCATTTCTGAAAGAACAACATCTGCCTTTTTGGTTATTTTTTCCATTTCATTACGAACTATTTCCTTCAAAAGCATCTCTTTAGATTGGGATGGTATATCCTCATTAGTTTTCATATTCATTTTCAATTGCTTTTGAACCTCCACTTTCACCAATTCATGAATAGAATTATCGATAGAATTTTCTCTAGTTTTTAAATCTTCAAATTGTTTTTTGGTTTCTTGACATTTTTGAACCAGGTCAACAACAATTCTCTCCAATCTGTTGGAAAGAATCCATTTTTTGAAAATCTTTTCACTCATCTGGTTAAAAATCGATTTGAATGTTTGAAATTGGTTTGATAAACTATCAATTGTTACCTCTCCGATTGGAATTTCAGGAATTTTTTCAACATTTAGTTGAGGCATTTCATTAAGCCAATCATGAATATATTGCTTCTCATTTTTAGGATGATTTTCTTTCATTAGTCTTTCCAGCTCCTCCATTCTTATGAACTTGATAGTAGCGCTTTCCTCTTCGCTATCAGAAAATAAATAATCTGTATTTGCTATTGAAGCAAACTTTTGTTTAGCATCTGAAACAGGCTGCCCATGTAAGAACCTCAAAAATCGTTCAGCAGCTAGAGTTTCTCTATGGTCCAGATCTTGTTTTGAAACAACCTCCCAAGATTCACATACTAATGGTTCAGATCCTTTCAATCTAGGCGAATCCACAAAGCTACCATTCTTTGGGCTTCTTGGACTTCCTTTGGGTGATTCTAAGAATGTGGGTGTTAAGTTTTTAAGGTCAATATCAAGAAGTTTTTTCTTTGATTCTTGAGGGAGAGGAGATGAGGATCTTTTACCAGTGTGCTGTATTTGATGAAGATTTGAGATTGTTGCAGTGGAAGGATATAATATTGGCGAGGAGCTTCTAGAAGCTTTTAGAGATTGATTATTTGTTGGTGATATTGCTCTTTTGGGAGTTGTATTGGTAGGAGTAGCATTTGAAATCGTTGCTTGCCTTGGAATAACTACCAAATGATCTAGTGATGATCCGTAGTATGGATTGAGTGTGTCATCAACCCTATTTATTGAAGAGAGAGTCTTTGCTTTCTTTTGGTTAGATTTCACCATCAGAGAATTAATCCTTATTTGTTGGTGGGTGAGTAGTGGTGTTGTTTTTTTTGATTTATTTTTTGGCGCCTTCTATTATTAATCCACCGTTATGTTGAATTTTTAAAAATTAAAAAAAAAGGAACAATTGGATTTGTTCACAACAATCTCTTCGAACATGGATGAATATGAACACACAAGATAGTACTCCTATAAGAAAACGTTCGAAAAAGAGAGTTGCAAAACAATCTTCCAAACATTACCGTGAAGAGAGTCAACTTCCCGAACAACAATGTGTAACACCAACAAAAGAACATACAGCTAATACTTCCTTCTCCTCTCCAGGATCAATTTCTCTCAGTGCACTGAAAATAACAACTCCATCACAAAATAATGTAAATTCCTCTTTAAATGATTATGAAAATCACAGGAATGATCTATCAAGCATGTCTGATAGTTCCTTCCTGACAATGTCTTCCTCTTTTAATATGCCACTCATCATGATGGAAGATGATCAAGAAAATGTCACAAATTCTTCAATTTTATTGTCACAACATACTTCCTTGACACAAGATTTTGGGAATGTTGCATTATCAAATAATGATAGACTATTTCCCTGCAATATTACTGGCACAATTACAGATAATTTTGAACAAGAATGTAATGATGCTCCCACCTCTCCAATTATTACTTTTCCTTCTAATCAATATTCTAACCTAGATATTGATGAAAAGGAAATTTTTGAGGAATATTTTGAAAAGTTGACTGAAATAGAGACTAGATCTAGATCAAATAGTTATAATAGTAACAAACCATCAAAAAAAAGAAAAACATATACCTTGAGTAGACTAAAAGTACTACCTGTGGCCATCAAACATGTAATTTTAAGCTTTCTACCATATCTACCACTAAAATTTTATTTAGGGCTAGCCTTTCAATCTCCTCAAAACAAGTATTTATTTGCGACAAGTATTATTCAAAACTCTTTTGGAAGGTATTCGGATAATCCTCTCAGATCCCACATTTTCATTCCATTTCTGAATGTTGAACTTGTGTTGTCAAAAGAGCCATTTTCCGAAAAGTCAAATAATGACATACCCCAAGATATTGCTAGATCTCTATCCAAGGAAGATTTTGAATCTATTTGCATTTTATACTCCCCCATTTTCAATCATGTAAGGAATTTAAAAATCACCACAATAATAGAAAATGATTCGAGAATTACTACACCAATCACAAGTGCAGAAATGCAAACTTTTATGAACGTGTTACTGGAGTACAAATCAAAATATTCACTGTTCAGAACCTGCTTAGATTTTTCATCATCACCCTTGGTTAAAAAGTATTTGGACATTAATATAATATCTGAAAGAAAAATTTCCTTATTTTCCAGATTAGAAACGTTATATTTTAATGTAGAAGCACCAGAAAGTATATTCGAGTCGGATTCTCAATTGTTAGATCCTTTTATTTTCCAACCAATCCCTTCTTTTGATAATATCACCACACACATTAACCTAAACAAGAATTTCATACCTGTTCCCATTATTCTCCCACATCTAAAAAGATTTCCAAAGCTGAAATGCATCCACACTTGTTTGTACTTTCCAGACACTATCCAATCCAATGGTATCGATTTCACTTCAATGCAATTGATTCAATCATTGAAGATTTGTAATATTTCAACGAAACAACTAGAAATTTTACTTTCCTCAACAAGCCAAGTTAAAAATCTTGATTTAAGAGGTTTAACTTATTCCCCTCTTGACATGTTCATGAAAACCAAGAACATTACTCAAAAACTTCAACATTTATCTATTCAATTTTCAGAGAATGATATTGTGAGTGATATAGAGTTTTCTAATTTTCTTAAATCAAATTGTATTCCATCACTCAGGTGTTTGGAAATATTTGAACCAGAAAATAGAAGTAGAGCTCGCCAAGAATGTACTCTTGATGGAATCCGTCACAATACCTCTATTACAAAGCTTTCCCTTGTTTTCTTCTTACATTTGGGTGCAAAAGCTGCAGAAAACCTATCCAATTCCCGTATTAATTCGTTAACTGTTGCAAACTCGTTTAGGAATGCAACACACTTCTCTGCCTTTATGGAGGTTTTGTCCAATAATTCTGTCATTAAGAGATTGCACATATCAACATTTTTCTCATCCAGATTAGCATTTGAAAACTTTTTAAAATCCAATAAGATTTGTGAAAAATTTATTGGAGAATTTGATGACAAGTCAAAACTTTTGGTCTTAGATATTAATTGCCTTGAAGAATTGAAAACAAATGTAAATCTCAAAGTGCTCAAACTTTTGAATTTTACCTTTGATGTTACAGATGAGGAGATTGAACGAGTTCTAAATAATGAAATTCCACAAATCGATGTAACAATTTGTAGAAAGGCATATGTATCCAGCTTTTCACAATAAATATTATTCCTGTTTCCCAACAATGGAAACAACTAGTTCAATATCTTATAAATAAAAAATAAATTATATTAAATCAAACTATTTCCTCTTTCTCTTGCTGTAAAGGTGAAATACAACAAAAATATAGAACCAAATTGAAAACAATTGCTGGAACCCAACAAAGTACTGTTAGCATAAAGCTCAGTAGTACCCACATTAATCTATTAGTATCTAATTCTTCAGTTTCTGTCTGCACTCTATTTCTGTGTGCTCCTGTTTCCGATTCATTATTCCTTGTTGAAAAATCCATCACACCTGTTGATCCAGTCATAGCTTCGCTCAATCCATAACGTACCTTCTCTCTTGGATGTTGATACAACAAAAAGTATGTTGCTAAAGGAGGAAATAAAATACAACAAGACAAAACAGAAGTCATCCATGCAAAATAAGATGCGTACTTGTTATTGGCTCTGGTATCACCAAATAATAAATGGTGAGGTCCCATACAACACCATTCAGAAGGATGGTTTGTGTGTGATGTTGTTTTAACAAGTTGTGTGTTGTTAACATCATGTGATTGCACTGATGGTCTTTCCTCCGATGTCATTAAATAAATGGTAATTATCTGTCCTATATTTTTTTTTAATATTTAAATTAGAACGTTATGATGGCCGTTTGGAAAACAACAATAACACAATGTTTTTAGAATAATCCTTGAGATTCATGGTAGATCTTTACTCTGTGAATATCCTTTTCAGTTAATTTCTTATTTCTTCCTTTGCATTTTCCTCTTCCTTGTTTCAATGGTTTATTCTTATTTTCCTTGATAATTTTCTCAATTCTTGCTTGTCTTCTTTGTTCCATTTTTCTCTTTTCAATCTTGTTCTCTTCTTCCATATCAGCTTTGATTTTGGCTTCTAATTCTTTCACTTCCTTCATTTCTTTTTTCCTTTCATAGCTTTCTTTAGATCTGTCTTTTTAACAGAAAATCGTTCCTTTGGTTGCTTCCAAACTTTTCCAGAGATGAATGTTGTTTGTTTAACAGATACATAACTTCCAGGAGTAAATTTTGGTTGGTTATTATCGGATATTGTAGGAGTCTCTTCGGATTTTGTTATGGATGTCTCTTTAATAACATTTGTTGTAGTGGTTGGTACTGATGTTGGAATTGTTGTTGATGTTGTAGACTTGCTCTTAGTGGTCAATTTGCTCTTCTTTGATGGAGTATTCTTCTTGTTTGCTTCACTCATTTTTTTGAACGTGTTCAAATAACTTTTTAAATAATAGTTGAAAAATATTTATATATTAATTAATTTAAATTAATCTTGTTTATTGTTACTTGTTTATTTAATTTGTGGAATATTAAATGTTTTTGGGGAATCCAAATCCATTTCAAAATTCCAATCATTTTGTGGGTTAATTAGAGAGAATAACAAGTCCGAAGCAAATTGACCTCTCAACTTCATTTCATCTGAAATAATTGAACTAGCTTTATCTATGATACTTGAATTATGTTGGCTTGTAGCATTTGGTTGCAGAGTGTGAGTGTTTGATTCATCTCCAAACAAATCAAAACCTAAATCTTGATCATCATTTTCCAATAGGAAAGGGCAATCTGGTTTATGTTTTTTGTGTTCCGAATGTACATTATCGGTTGGTTCCCAATCTCTTAGTCTTATTCCACAATAATGACACTGACACATATCACGAACTGTGCTTGTAGGAAAAAAATAAAATCCATTTGCAGCCAATAATTTAGGAGTACAATAAGGATGGGATTCATCTGTGTGAGGCCAAGATAGACCATCTTGTCTGTTAAAGAAAGAAGCTAATCTATTTTCTTCCGAATCCATTTTTTGTTTACAATTTTATGTTTGATTTTCATCAGATGAAAACTGGCAGAATTTTTTTAATTCATATTATTGCTTGGGTAGATGGAAACAACAATCTAAAAATACAGCATTAATAATAATACAATCAAAGAAAAAAAAATGTACAATACTCACGATCTTTTCCACTCCAAAAACAAACCTGTTAGCCATCCATCAGCACCATTATTGCAACACAACAATTTCTCTGAAGCTCTTCCTTTTGAAGACCCACTCAAAGATATGCAAGAAGCACACTCTATGGGTACATCAATTATGGCTGTAGAATTTGATGGAGGTGTTGTAATTGGAGCTGATTCTCGTACAACCACAGGTTCATATATTGCTAACAGAGTGTCTGACAAATTAACTCCTGTCCATGATAGAATTTATGTTTGTCGTTCTGGTTCAGCAGCTGACACTCAACAGATCTCCGATTATGTTCGTTATTTCCTTCAAATACACTCTGTTGAAGTTGGTACCTTACCTTTGGTGGAAACAGCTGCTAATTTGTTTAAGGATTTTTGTTATAACTACAAGGACAATCTACTTGCTGGTATAATTTGTGCAGGTTGGGATGAAAAGAATGGTGGATCTGTTTGGACTATTCCTCTTGGTGGATCTTTAATTAAAGAACCTTTCAGCATTGGTGGATCGGGAAGTACTTACATTTATGGTTACTGTGATGCCAATTTCAAGAAGGGAATGACAAAGGAAGAATGTAAACAATTCGTGAGGAACGCTTTGTCTCTTGCTATGGCACGTGATGGTAGTAGTGGTGGTGTTGTTCGTCTTGCTGTCATTACCAAGGATGGTGTTGAAAGAGAAGTCCATCATGAAGGTCAAGGTGGTACATTGCCAAAACATTATTCAGATTAATCATTGTATAAATAATTCATTTACGTTGTATATTTATCTAAATATGTCTTTATTTTTCTTAATTATTGGGATCATTTCTAGAATAAGTGCCATCAGAGAACCAAATTTCCTCACTTCCATTGTTATCAACAAACTTAATTGTTTTATCTGGAAAAACAACCTCCTTCTCTCCTCCAGGAAAATGAGTTTCAATTTGGTTATTAGAGAATTTGTACATTTCAGCACCTGTTGGATATGTAATTTGGGTTGTTTTTAAGTTATTGAAAAAGTAAATAACCAATCCATCCTCAAAGGTCTTTTTGATATCACCATTATTGAAATAGATTAGACTAGATCTATCAGGTAATATTTTCTTAACACTTCCATTTGAAAACTCCACATCTCTTCTTCCTGTATTGAAAAGAATTTCAATTTTTCCTTTCCCAACTTCTCTTCTACTGGTTACTACTTCTCCAAAATTTTCATTTTCCCATGTTACATTGAAATGACTATCGCTCACCTGGAAGGTTTTTTTTAATAGCCCAAGTTTGTGATTATTAGGATAAAGAGATTTAACTAAGGGTATCTTTTCCATTACTTTTGTTGACATGGTTTCTGGAAGAGGCTTGATATTCACATCCTTATTTGGTGTGATTGGTGTTTTAGGATTTTGTTGGGAATTGACCTTTGTATTGGTGGTAATGCTAGGACTTGAGTTAATAGATGGTTGAGAAATATTATCTTTTGATTGCTTTTTCCTAAAATTGTTATCGATTCTTTCTAATTCCCTCTTTTTAAGATTCTCCTCAAGCTCTATTATCTTTTCTTGTAATTGTTCATTTCTTGATTTGAGAGCTTGGATATTTGATTTAAGTTTGGACCTTTCATTCTTAAATTCAGTAGTCAACTTTTCTATTTTTTCCTTAAGATCGTTGACTTCTTTCTCATGTTCTTTCCTACTCAGTGATTGTTGCTGATCTTTGATATTTCTTTCTAGAATTCTTCTTTCTCGTTTTAACTTTTGTGTTTCTTCCTGTTTATATTTTTCAAACTTTTCTCGTTCCTCTTCTGTAAATCGTTTAAACTCTGATTTTTCACATTCAATGTTTTGCCTTTCTGCTTGAAGCTCATCTTTCAGTCTCCTAGTTTTTTCATTTTCATTCTTATAAAATATTAGTTGCTCTTCCAATTCTTGAAGTTTTAATTCTTCTTGCTCTTTCAGTTTTTTATCCTCTTTCTTTTTTTCAATCTTTTCCTTAATTTGTCTTTTCTTTTCTTCCTCTTGAGATTTTGGAAGAAAGAAGTTAGATATTATTGATCTACTATTTGATATTTTGGCTTTATGGGGGTCTTCATCATTTGGTGGTTGTTGGTTTGTTTTTTGACTTGTAATTGGTTTTTGCTCATAATTATAAGGATTATATACATTATTACGATTAATAAAAGTTCCCCATCCTTCTTCGTCCTCTTGGTTGATTGAATCTTCTTCTAGGAACAGATCATTAGGAATAGATGGTTCGGAGAAGTAGGCTTTCAAAGTTTTTTCTTGTTTAGATTCTTGATTATTAATCACTTGTTGCTCCTTTGGTAAAGATTGAAGTGTTTTGACAACTTGTGGAGATTCAGTCTTTGTTGGTTTCTCTATCTTTTTCGTGTCTGGTTGTTTTTTAAGAGGTTCGTTCTTTCTTTGATTGGAAAGACTTGTTTTGAGAGGAACATCTTGTTTTTGTTCTGTTTTTTGAGCTGTATCCTGAGATTTGGATTTTAGGATTGCTTCCTTTGAATGTTTGTTTGTAGGAGGTACATATGTTCCTGGTTTTGAGATTTTGTTCAGCAAATTTCCCCATCTGGAATTCCTTTTCAACATTTTGAATTTTATGGAAGATTCCTCATCATCCTTATATTCATTTTCATAACTATTGGGGGAAGTGGTAGTAGATTTGGGAGAAGATTGCTTACTTTCTGATCTGTGGGGAATTGGAATTTCTTCAACGTTAGTAATTTTAGCACTGTTGAGACTTGATGTGTTAGGTTGATAAGTAGTGATTATTGACTGAGAAGACTCGTTTCCAGACTGATAGGATTGTTTAGATTTTGGTGTTAAGGTTTTTGGAATATACATGTGGAAAGATCTTTGTTCCTTAGGTTTGGTTTCCTCTTCCTCAGAATCTGAATGTTCACCTTCTAGCTCCAAATGATTGAAAGAGGTATTTTCTTCGCCATCTGAATCATTAGAGTCATTATTATAATAGTACGTCTCATAATCCTCTGGTTCTTGTAATTCTTCTAATGAGTTCTCGTTGTCATTATTAATAATATTATTAAAGTACTCATTATTTACAAAATTTGGAGTGTTATTTTCTGTTGTGTATCTGTATTCCTCATCCTCTTCACCCATATCATCATTTGTAATATCTTTTCCGATAGTTTCAGTGTTGTCAATAAAATTTTTGTATTCTTCCTCATCCTCTTCCTCATTTTCGTTCCATTCTGGGTGCATAGGCTGGAAATATTGTTGAATAGATGAAGTAAGGAAAGCATCTTTGAGTGTTGCCATTTTGTTTTCTTTTGTTGGATCCATTTTAAAAATAGAGTGGAATGTAGAATTTCGGCGGGAATCAACATTTGTATCACAATTTTCAATTTCCTTTTCAACATTTTCAGCTTTATAAATGTCGCTTATTTCATTCATATTTGTTTCTTCTAAATATGTTGCAAATAATGTTTTATGTGATATTGTCTCCTCAGATGAAACAGGAAATGATGACATTTTTTTTGATTAAGATTGCGTCCAGCCATTCACCGAGAACCACTTGGATAATAATGAATCCAAATATTATTCATTAATTTGTTGATAATATTTTTTTATTTTTGATGTTCAAAAAAAATGACACAAAAACAGTCCAAGAACAAAGTTGTAGAGAAACTGAAGAAAAAAGGTTCCGGAGGAAACAAGAAGCAAGAGAACGTTAGCAGTGGAAATGAAGACCCACGTTTTGCTATTATGCATAAAGATCCAAAATTTTTACCTGTCGAAGCAAAAACAGTAATTAGTGATCCTAGATTATATGAAATCTTGGACCCTTCTTTTACAATGCTCAAGAAGAGCAGAGATGCCTCTGGTAAACAAAAAGAACAAGCTGTAAAAAACACATTAAAGGGTATTTACAACTTTGAAAAGGATCCGATGGCAATGAGAGTCGCAAAACTCAAACAAGCAAAAAAGGAAATGGAAGAGGAAGAAGGAAAAGATCACGAGTCAGACTATGATAGTGACGATTCTATTGAAGATGCAAAGGAAATGATTGGAAAGAAAGATAAAAAGCCACTTACAGCAACTGATATATTTGAAGGGGATGAATCTGAGGAAGAAGAAGAAGAAGAAATGGACTTTGATAAATTTTTGGAATCTTTGGAAGGTAGACCAGAACTAGAAAATGTAGAGTGGAATGAGGAATGGGAAGATGCCTATGACTTTGATGATGAAGATGCAGCTGTTCTCAAGGCTGTAGGTCAAGAAGTTGATAGTGAAAATATTCCTGAGGAACAACAAGATTTATGGGACGTAAGTTTGATTTATTACTTAAATTTCTCATTATTTCAAAAGAAATATGTAGACGATCAAAAACAAATTAAAATGATTGAAGAGGGCGAAGAAACTAGAAGAATTGCTGTAATGAACTGTGATTGGAATCTTGTTGATAGTGATGATTTATTTGTCCTCTTTTCTTCAATGTGTCCACCTTCTGGAAAGATAGTTGGTGTTACAGTTTATTTATCTGATTTTGGTAAGCAACAAAGGGAGAGTGAAGCTGTTAGTGGACCTGGAAATTTGTTTTATGATGAAAATGATTACAGTAAGTTATTTGTTAACTCATTTATTAACAAAATTAGAAAATCTTGAAAATGTAAAGAAAAAGATTGCAGAGTTAAAGGAAGATAGTAGAAACTCCCGTCTTGTTTCAAGAAGAGAAAAAAAGAATAAGGATAATATTAAAGTTGAGACTGAAGTAGAACAAGCTGAAACCAATGATGAAATGTTAGACCCTGTTAAAGTGAGAGAATATGAATTCAAAAAGATGAAATATTACTTTGCTGTTATTGAATGTGACAGCTCTCAAACAGCAACTTATTTGTATAACGAGTGTGATGGGTTTGAATTTGAATCCACATCTATCTTGCTAGATTTAAGATTCATTCCAGACAGTTTAGACTTCAGTGAAAGAGAAATCAAGTAAGTTTCAGAGATTGTGTAATATTCCTTACAGTTTTAAGATCTCAATGCACTTCAGTTCCAGCAGATTACAAACCAAAACAAAATATGTACTCCAAACCACTCAAATCATCATCTGTAGATTTGACTTGGGATACTAATAATCCAGAAAGAGAGGTATTGAAGAAAGACTTTAAAGATGTTAGCGAAGAAGCATTAATGTAAGTTTTATTGAAATAAGCATTTTTTACCATATTACTTACTGTATAGGAAATTTATTGCCAACTCAGATGATGACTCCAGTTCCTCATCAGATGAAGAAGTAGAAGAAAAAGTTGTAGAAGAAAATACTGATACAACTGAGGAAAAAACGCAAAAGAAGAAGGATAAAAAGGAAAAGAAGAAATTAGAAAAGAAAAAGTATAAGGATTTGATCAAGTATGCCAAAAAGAAAGAGAAGGAAAAGGAGGCTATTATGAGTGGCAATAGTGAGGATGCATCACACAATATTGAGTTTGTTTTACATGAAGGTTTAAAAGACACCATCCAAAAAGAAGTTGTAAACAAGCAAAAAGAAAAGGAAAAATTGGAAAATGAATCATGGTGGGAGACTGCAGAGAGAAAGAGAAAAGAAAAGAAAAAACAACAGAGAAAAGAAAGATTAAAGAAGATAATGAGTTCTGATCAAGATGGTGTTGAAGATGAGCAAGAGATTGATGAAGATGATTTATTAGGAGAACAAAAATTGGCGGTAAGAGAAAAGGAGAAACAAAAACAAAAGAAGGAAGAGGAAGAAAAGCGAAAACAAAACTTGGAATTATTAATGTCAGATTATAGTGCTGAAAAGGGATTTGATATTAAACGTGACACTGATAGAGAAATAACAAGAAGAAGAAAGAATCAAGAGTCCAAGAAAAAGAATGAGGAAAACGAAAATGAAGCTCCACTAATTATAGGAGATGACAGATTTACTGATGTCTTCCTTGATCCAGAATTCCATTTAGATCAAACTCACCCTAAGTACAAGAAAACTAATCTTACTTCCAAAATAATGGAAAAGAGAAGAGAGGAAAGTTTAAAGAGACAAGAAAAGGAAGAGTCACTTTATTCTTCAAAATTGAAAAAGAGAAAATTATAAACTCAATTATGTACAGTTGTTTCAACAGATTTACATGGTAAAAGTAGGCAATACTTTTCATCTTCAAAAATAATAGAAGCGAATGTTCCACTGGCAGCTCTAAAAAGTCTATCAAAAAGTGAGTCTGCATGTTCAATATCAACGTTCAATAAATTTGGAAGTAAAATAGCTTTAGCGTTTTCAATTTTTTCACAATCTCTCAAAACCTGAAACACCTTATTTCTAGCAATATTAATATCACTAGAAGGTGACAAATCAATGTAGTGCATACAATGAGAACTTAAATGGTTGAGCTTTCCTCCAAAATCAACCAATATAGAATCTTCAATGGATACACGAGTTGTTTTTTCTGATGCAGCACAATTTACACTTGTTTGACTATCCAAAATAAATGCAGGTACATATGGAGCATAATGAGTAATCAATTGACCAGGAGCAATTTGAGCAGTGTTATCATTCATTTTTACACTGTATGTTTGATGACGAGCCTCCACTTTAACTTCAGGAATTGTACCACGAGTGTTGCTTTCTTCCAAAATAAATTCTTGTACACTCTTTTTTAATTGTTCAAGTGAAATTCCTCCTCTTCGTAACACTTCAATTTTTAATGACTTGTCTTCAAGTTCTGAAATTTTTGCCACTGTACTTTCAATACCAACACTACATTCTGTTTTACTTTCAGAATTATTTTCCTCTTCCAAAACAAGAATTCTGAATACGTTTTCATTATCAATTTCATCTTTTCCATATAATCCTAAATCCTCCATCACATGTGAAGCTCTTGTTGGAGAAATGTGACCAAATCTATTTGCTGATGGAGCACTGATTGGTAATTTGCAATGCTCTAATAATTTACGAATTATTGGATGAGCAGGAACTCTAATACCAACAAATCCTGTACTAGCGGTCACACAATCTGGTATTACTTGTTCATTAGATTTGCTGACAAGTGTGAGTGGACCCGGCCAGAAGGTTGCTGCCAAATGTTCATATAGCCTCATATGGAGACTATTCTCCTCAATGGTAATGTATTTTTTTGCTTGATCTACATCTAACACATGTACAATAACAGGATCGGTTAGCGGTCTTTTTTTTGCTTTGAAAATGGAATAAACAGCCTTTTCATCCAAAGCATTGGCCCCTAGTCCATAAACTGTCTCTGTTGGAAATGATACCAAACCACCATTTCTCAAGTGTTCACTGCATTCCTCGTAAATATTAAAGTCATGTCCATTTCCAACTCTGTAGACAATTCCGTTATGAACATCCTCATAATATGAGGAGGTATCACTGTGTTGTTGATGAGTCATTTTTTTGAGTGTAGAGAATGAGAGTAAAAGTGGCCAAGTTCTGCTTGATGCAATTGCAAACTGCGTTTTTGAAAATGTATTAATTCTTTTTTTAAATATCGCTTTCATTATCAGATACGAATTTAATAATAAATTGTTGCTGAATAAAATTAATATTATTTTAATTTGAAATTGTTTGTTAATTATTGTGATGTTTACGAAAGGAGGTAAAAGTTTGTTGAAGTTTGGAAATTAGAAATTTTTTATGATTTTTAAAAAAAATGTCAAGCAAAAAATACAATAGGTATATCGACAAGACTTCAATACCAGGTCACGAAGAAAAGGAGAAGAAGGTTAATCAAAAAATTGATGATGTGAAAGAAGCTTTGGAAAAAGATACTAGTGCTCCATCATGGTTAAAAGGAGGTGCTTACACTGAAGAGGATAATCCAAATGGTCTTGCTGATCGTTCCGATTTTGTTATTTTGTTTCCGGAATATAGAGAGCAATACTTGAAAGAGCATTTTACTGTAATAGAATCAACTTTGGGTGCATCACCATTTTACTTGAAAACAACACTGAATTGCAAGGAAGGAAAGATTATTATAGAAACCACAGAAAGAACATTTGATCCATTTATTATTTTCAAAGGTAGAGATTGCTTACAATTGGTTTCAAGAGGAGTGGCATTTGAAGAAGCTAAAAGAGTTCTTGAGGATAACGTTTTTTCTGAAGTAATGAAGATTGGAAATCTCTGTAGAAATAAGGAGGTTTTTACAAAGAGAAGACAGAGACTTTTTGGACCAGATGGTTCTACTTTGAAGGCTCTCCAACTTTTGACAGGTTGTTTCATATTTATTCAAGGTAAAACTGTTAGTGTTATTGGAGAAGTCAATGGAATCAAGCTCGTATCTGAGGTGATTACCGACTGCATGAATAATATCCATCCAATCTATCACATCAAACAGCTCATGGTTAAAAAGGAATTGAAAAACAGCTCTGAATATGCAAACGTATCATGGGATAAATATTTGCCAAAGTTTAAAAAGACTGTGAACAAGTCAATTGTCAAAAAAAAGAAAAAGAAAATTCAAAAGAAAGAATATACACCATTTCCAAACGCACCTGAAAAGAGTAAGAAGGATATTGAAATTGAAACTGGTGAATATTTCTTATCAAAAGAAGAAAAGCAACTTAAGCAAGTTTCTGAAAGAACTGAAAAACAAAAAGAAAAGAAGGAAGAAAAGAAGAAACAACAAGACAAGCTATATGAAGCTCCAAAAGAGGAAAATCCAAAGAAGAGAAAGCACCAAAATGACGAAAATAATGATGATTTGATTAAGAAGATTTCTGAAAGACAATCAAATGTGACGACACAACAAAATAAGAAGGTTAAGGCTGAAGATTTTATAGATAATTAAATTATTACTGTCTTTTATCTAAATTTTCAAGTACTTGATTGACTTCTTTTGTTTGTTGATGATTTTCACCGAGAACGTAAACAAATATTTCTCTAGCCTTTTCCAGATATTCTCTAGCCTTAGCAAAGTCTCCCAAAAATAATTTGAAAAACCCGTTTACAACATACACTTTCCCTGTTTCCACATGATTTTCTCCAAGATGTTCTGAATCTGTTCTCAAAATATGTTCTAACATTTTTTCAGCATCTCCAACTTTGTCTTCATCTAAATCCTTTACAGAATTTTTAAATTGAATTCTCGCTTGTCTTGTTGAAACTTCAAGTGAACCATCCTCATTATCATTTGTTTGGGGTTTACCAACTAAAATAATTGACGACAATTGGTCATACCAAATATCAACAACTTTTTTCATAAATGAAACACCTTTTTCAGATTTTCCTTGCATTGAAACAAATACATTGCCTAAATTGAAATAAGCAAAACTTGTAATTACATCATGAGTTCCATGCTCTAAAGCTAAATAATATACACTTGCTGCCATATTTTCAATGGCTTCATTAACCTTTCCTTGCTGAACATACAGTAAACCAAAATGTTGATGAAGTTCAGCTCTCAAGTTTGGTGGGCATTTTTCCTTGTTTTTCATACAGGTCCAATTTGCTATAGACAAATATTCCTCTGCTTGTTTGAATTGATTTAATTGTTGGCTTGCCTTGGAAAGGAGGAAGTATGCTTCAACTTGTTGCAAAGCATCTTTTCCATACAGTTTTTGAATATATTCCAAAGCTTTTAAACCTCCGATAGTAGCCCTCTTAAAATCGCCCTCCTGCAAAATCATTGAACTCTCACTTAAGGCAACCTCGATAATCGCTTCCAAACTTAATTCAAGTTGTTTCATATGTTCTTGTTTTTGAGTTAGAGATGTTCCAGTAAAAGTTCCTTGTTGAGGAGAATTGAATTGAGTAATTAGGTTATTAAATTTTTGCTCTAATTGAATCCAGTTTAACCCTGATCGTTTATCCCTTCCTGTTGTTGTTGCTCCGTAACTTCCATTATCATTACTATTCAATAATTGCTGGTTAGAGTTATTTCCTTCTGTCAGCCTGCTCAAATCGAGCGTTCCAATTTTCAGTGAAGGACTTGTAGACATTTTTTTAAGTTATTTATTTTTATGGCGGGAAAGTCTGCTGTAGATCATTCTCAATTATCAAAGTCACGGAATCGAGATAGAATTTTTGGTGCTACAATAGCCCAAAAGAATAATAAAAGGCAAATCCATTGCGAAACAATCTTTACCCACATTGCTGCAAGTGAATGATCGACTGACCATTTCTCTTCATCATTTGAGAGTACATCCCAATTTACTAATACGCAGCTCATATAACAACAGGAAAACATACAAACAAGATGGCAATAAAACATTTCTGAACATTCGGATCGTTTCGCTTCATCAGTTTCGTCGTTTTCATCATTATCATTTTCCGTTCCATCTTCGTCACTATGTTTGCTCATACTGAAAAAACTTGAAAAGCTCAAACCAGTGCTAATAGCACTTCGTCTAGAGTTTTTAAGGTTAATTAATTAGTGAGTATTACATCATACTTACACAATGGAAAATATTGAGATCAAGAGACTGATAATTATAGTAATAATTGAGCTAGCGGTAGTATTAGATCCTCCTTCCTGAGAAAAGCTAGCCAATTTGTTACAGGTCTGGTTTGGATAAGATGTCAAAGCTGTCCAACATACAAAAGATGTATACAGAAATATTAAGCCTGTTGGATAAATACCTCTTTTTAGAACCATTGCCACAATTGTTGTAATTATTGAACAAACTATTGTAAAGCAAATGAAAAATCTATTCAAATGACAATCAGGGCCACTACCAAAAAAAACAAATTCACATACTATAAATGCCAATCCAAGAATATAGAAAACTATTGCTAAACCAAGCATTAAATAATCCCATACCCCATATGATGAATCATCACCTTTGGATCTGAACCATTCTGCTGAGCTAAAGGAAAAGTCAATTAAAATTATTAGTTGAATTATGATAAAAATACATGCTAAAACTAGAGACAACCATGCAAATCCATAGAAAAAGATATCTGTCATATGGATATAAGTAAATATGATAGATCTATTAACGTACCAGGTATGAAGAATGGAACAATTAGAAACACAATAAATAATGGAAGCTTGAGAATAAACCATTTGTGCTGAATATATAATCTTGCATTGTCTCCCACACAAAATAATCTTGATGCTAAAAAAGCAAACAAGAAGAAAAACATGAAACAACCGAAACATATCCTATAAACAGCATAATTACCACTTATTCTCACCAATACACTTTCAAAAAACCATTCATAAATCTGCCTTCCAAAAGGTACATTATCAAAAAATCCAAACAATCCTTCTCTCAAAAACAGTGCAACAATAAATCCAAAAAATAAGAAGAAAGAGTATGCTACCCGAGTGGCTGTCAGTTTTTTAGGTTTTAATTTTTTCAATTTTCCTCTCCAACCTTGCTCCTCCCCATAATCAAGATCCGAGTAGATGGCCATCTATTCAATTCTTCGATTTTTTTCTAATTGGCTTCTAGTAAAACTTTAAACGTTTAATATCATAAAAAATATTTTTAAAAAAAATGCTTCCTAGTGCCTCCAACAGTAACCTCACTCCAGGAAATTCACTGGATACCAATAAATCTATGAACGCTCTCAAGTCGTTAAAAGAGTACATATTGGATATGGTGGAAAGCGTTAATGGAGTAAAGGTATTAATTCTAGATGAATATACTGTAGGTTTAATAATTTAATGATTAATACAACATAATAATAAGAGAGACGTTGTTTCTGTTGTAACACCTTTTAGTATGATTATGCAAAAGGAAGTTTTTCTTGTAGATCTGTTGAGTAATCACACCAGACAGAAATTATCAAACATGCGTGCTATTGTTTTTATCCGACCAACAAAGGATAATGCCTATCTTTTAAAAGAGGAACTCTCCGATCCTAAATATCAATCCTACAATGTTTGTAAGTTTTGATCGATAAGATTCACCTAACTCTAACTTAGTTTTCTCCAATGTTGTTGATGAAGAAATTCTTCATAGATTTGCGGAAATAGATAAGAATGAAATGGTTAAAAGCGTATTTGAATATTTTACTGAATATTTGGCTCTAGATAACTCGATTTTTTCGTTGAATATGCCTAAAACTTTTAAAATGATGACCAGCCGTTCAGAAACATCTGACACACTTGTTCCAAAGCTAACTGATGGATTGACAAGTGTTTTGTTATCTCTTAGGAAAAGACCAATTGTAAGATATCAAAAGAATTCTATTCCTTGTAAATTATTAGCTCAAAATTTGAGTGAAAGAATTTCTGGAAGAGACAAATCAATGAAGGGTATTTTCGATTTTAAAATGGATTATGAAACCAGATATCATACTAAAGCACCTCCAGCACCTATTTTATTGATTTTGGACAGAAGAGATGATGCTATCACACCACTTTTAACACAATGGACTTACCAAGCAATGATTCATGAACTCATTGGGCTTAATAACAATGTAATCAAATATCCATCTGATGAAAAAAGAGAAGAAGTCTTTACGGCCCAATATGATGAATTCTTTTCTCAGAATATGTATGAAAATTGGGGAGATTTATGTAAAAATGTAAAAAAAATTGTTGATAGATACCAACAGAATCATGACATGAAAGAAAATATTCAATCTATTGAAGATTTAGCTAACTTTATGAAAAACTTCCCAATATTTAAAAAACAACAACAAGAAGTAGAAAAACACATTACAATGGTAACTGAACTTCGTTCCATTGTTTCCAGACGTAAATTACTTGATGTATCAGAAGTTGAGCAAGAGCTGGTTTGTGGTCAAACACATGACAATATTTTTGAAGAATTGAAAAAGATTATCAAGAATGAAAATACTCTTAAACTAGATGCCCTCAGACTTGTAATTATTTATTCATTAAGATATGAAGATAGAAAGTCTGAACTCAAACTTCTGAAGGAGTTGCTTGAGGATAAAGGTGTAGAAGAAACTTGGTTGGTGGATGGAGCAATAAGATTTGGAGGTAAATCAGCACGTACTCCTGGCCTTTTCGACGAACAACCAAAATCTCTTTCAATAACTTCATTATTTAAGAAAGTGGCAAGTGAATTCCAGGATAAGGAAGTCTCCAATGTATTTACCCAACACAAACCAAGACTTTATGAAACTTTGGAATTTTTATTTAAAGGAAAATTAGATACTGAGAAATATCCATTTATCAGTGATACTTCAAAGGACATACCACAAGAGGTGATAGTATTTATTGTCGGTGGCATTACTTATGAGGAAGCTTCAGCTGTAGAATTGTTCAACAGTAAGGCTAGAAGAGAGGCTGAAGAAAGCGCCAAACTGAAAGCTAACTTTGGTGTTATTAGCTCATTGAATCAAATTGACGATAATTTCAAGTCTGTAATTTTGGGTGGCACCAGTGTTTTAAACTCAAAATCATTCCTAAGAGAACTTGAAAATATTGATGGACATTAATTATTAAAATTGAAATTATTATTCCTTTACAAAAAAAGAAAAATATTAAAAAATGAATCAAACCAAACGAATTGCTCTGTCTAAAACATCGCCATCTATCCGCAACGGAATAATCATGTTCAAGAGATGCACTAATAAACAATCCAGAGAGTTTACAGTTGATATGTGCAATAGAGAAAAATCGGAAAAACAAAACGAACAAGCAAAATCCCAGGAGGATGAAAATTTGGAATTTATTATTGAACAAGCATATATTAAAAAGAAGGTGGAACAAGCTGCTCTCAGCTCTCAAGTAAAAATTGCTTTAGAAAAGGCCAAAGCAAAGCAAAGAAGAAAAGCCCATTTGGTTGTTGCCTTTGGATTATTTTCTGCTGTTGCAATTACATTGTTTGTTTTTTATATTCACCAAACAAGATCACACTCTGGAGTGTTAACAGAAACAACAAAAGATAGAAAATTTTAATTTTTTGGATATTCTTTTGAAAAGACA